GAAATTTTTACCGCACAAAACAAATTTATAAATATCAAAATCATTTAAATAAATATATAATCAGATTTTTAAATCTTAGAAAATTATAGAAAATCGAGAAAAATACAAATACTCTTTTAAAAATAATAATTAAATATTTTAAAATATTTAAAAATTATTTTAATTAATATCAAAATTTCACGGTCATTACAGAAAATGCGGGCAAAATTAGGAAAATTGAAGCTGAGAAGCAGCTACAAGATCCTCGGGTCGGTCGACCGAAGGAGCAAGGTCGGTCGACCGACGCAATCGCTAGAAATAAGGAAATAGTCATGTTTTTGGTTAGTTGACTGACCATGCTCATGCGATCGACCGACAACATGCACATTACAGTGTTCAAAATTCGGGTCTCTGGCCGATCGAACGAAACAACATGTCTGGTCGACCACAAAGCAGGTATTTGCGCCGTTTGTTTTTCCAGTCGGTTTTAGACTGTGTTTTGATATAAATTGAAACACAATTTCTAGGGTTTCTTTAACCAGAGAATTGTGAGTCTTTTGAGTACTTTGAGAGGGAGGTATTGTGAGGGAGTTGAGAGCTTTGGTTGGGATTATATTTGAGTAATTTTATGAGTTATAACCCGTTGTATTTCTCCTCCATATAGTGAAATCTCTCCATCCTCTCCCCGTGGACGTAGGCAACTGCCGAACCACGTAAATCTCTGTGTTTGGTTTGATTTGTGCCGTATTTTGGTGAATTGTATTCGTGTTTGTTTTTGATTCTCTTCCCTCATTGCTTACCGACTAATTTGGTTGTCGAGCACGCTTCCGCATGACACACAACAATGTGAATGACAAAGATTGGTATAAGTAATTAATGAGCAATAGGAAATATTTGAAAGTTATTTTATATTTTATTTTCTCTAAAGTGGGAATATCCGTCCTTAGGAACTCATTAATTAGAAATGTTCATTATCAGTTATCACATAACATAACGTGAGAATTAATTAGAACGGGTAATATGATTTCTAACTTCTAAAAACACGTCGTGTTTCGTACACATGAATGAAAAGTTAGAATTGACATTTTATTCACACTTGTTCTCACTTATCAAACAAGACAGTGAACATGGAGGATAGGAAGATGTTAATTACCTCCTGCTATAATAAAAACATGTTCATTTCCCTCCATCATCTGATGGTTGTGGTATTTTGCTACCCATGAATGATGTCACCAGTGATGTTAGGATGGGATGTGGAAGGTACTCTTTGTCTCTTAGAGAGGTGTATACCGATGTTAGTTACGAGAAAGAGATGATATATAGTGGTTTGATATCCGATGACGCCATCTTGTGTCGATTTATTGACCGATTTTGTTTGGGCTATGGAATGTCTTCGGGTTTGGGACAATCTGGTACTCAAATCATTAAGGAAAATGTGCACAAGTATTCGTTATTTTTATGAGTTAATTAGATCATTTGTCATTGTATTTATCACGTAATTGGACAATCATACTTAGTTTTTTTATTGCTTAGATAACTGGTCATATAATTAAATACTAATTAAATTATTAGTCACTTCTAACGCTTTCTGTCAATTAAAATGATGAGTGTCGATGACAACATAAAAGCTTTTAATCATTTGACGTTACAGAGTTATTCTTGTTATGAGAAAAATCCACATGGTCTGACTTGTAGACTACGTCTAAGGGCGAAGGAGGAGAATAACTTCACTAAAATTTGAGAAATACAATGTGGAGATATCTCGATCGCTCAATCCTAAATCACACCCTAGAAAGCACTTAGTCTCTCTAAAAATACTCTAATACATGTAGAGCCAACCAATATAAAGCCAAATTAAGAACCCCTTAAATCAATTGATACAGCCCGTGGAGCCCCTCTCAATGCTCATCGATGCCGTCGGGTGGATCAAGCATCTTCAACTTTAATAAAGAGCTATCCATTTTTTCCCTTGATGCTGGGCCAAATTCTCGTCAAAGAGCTTCTGCCATATTTACGGAGACTAAGGATAAAAGCTGTTGCTAGCCATAAATTCTAATTGGATTGCATATCCTATTCAAGGAATACAATTTAAATCACTAATAGCAATTCCTATGTTTAATATCTTGATCACTTAGAAAATCAAAATTTTTTACGTATCGGGCAACATTTATTGAATAATTAAATGACATTTAACATTTTATTTTTGAAAAGATTAACCTATGACATATTGAGCAAGATGTATTTCTTTAAAATGAATGAAAATATACAATTTTATTTGATTTAAAAAAGTTAGAAATGACTAGTAATCCAATTAGTATTTAATTACATGTCCAATCATCTAAGCAAAGAAAATGAATGCTTGCAGGTCCCATTAGGAAATAAATCCAGTAAACTAATGATCTAATTATTAATCCAATCTTAAAAGTCTAAACTTTAATATTATTTTTATTCCTGTTAGATACATACATATTTACATTCTATAGATAACGGAAGTTCATATGAATTAGAGGACTTATGATTAAGAAGTAACTTTGAAGATGAGCCTGTTTTTCACTGTAATCGTTAATAATTATTCTTCTTTGCGTGGGAGTGGGAGCATTGAAATTACACAGCAAAATATGGTCTCGATAATTAGAGCGAGAACCGTCCATTAACTGTTTTTGCTACGGTTGGACATTGTGCATAACAAGGAAAGATCATATTTTTGACCTATTTCACTAAGGACTTGTTTGTTTACTAATTGTAGGTGTAGGGGTTCTAATACTATAGGAAGTCAGGTGTTTCAGTATTACTCCCAATACTTATGTTTGGTTTGTTCAAATGGATGTGGTTACTGTAGCTGGGTTGACGCTATTGTAGCTGAGTTGGTAGACCCTTAGCATTTCCCAGCAAGAAGTAGGGAATTGGGCTCGCATACTATAGCTATCAGAAACATCTGGATCGCTCAATTCCTCGTTACTGTAGCTACTGTGCCTTTCTACAAAAAGTAACCAAACATGCCCTAAATTCAAATCCTAATTTGTTGCGCTAATTTAAATATATGCAGACTTTTAAATGATAAATAGCATTTAAATGTCTTATAGTTCCACCATTTTCACTTATATAACCTTACTTATTTTTGGCAACACTTATATATCATGAAGTCTAATTTTGCATTTTAACACTTTCTTTTCTGCAAAAGTGAGGATTTCCCTTTAAATTCTCTCATGCGATAGTCACAAGTGAATTATGATTAGTATTTAACAGTTAATTTAATAAATATTAAGTACTAAAATTCTACAATTAGTATGTGATTGTCACGTGAGAAAATTTAAGGGGAATTCTCACGTTTACATATAATAACGAAAGGTGTTAAAGTGTAAATTTAAGAAACTTTAAGATATGTATATGATGTAAAAAATAAATGAGAGTATACACGTGCAAGACAGGGGAGACTAAACGTATTTACATGCTATTTAGCCTTTTTTTAAAAACAGGGACATACATTGAGCTCCAAAGAGAGACTATTTTTGATAAGTGATAAAAAAATTCGACTAACAACAACCAGTAATTTCTTATCCCATCGAGATGGGGGTATCTCTATGGAGGTAGACACCTCTATAATCGCCCTTCACCCACACTTTTCTCATGCAAAAATGGACGACATTTCATAATCAAAAGGGTTATTTCATATCAGTCCCTCACATCTTCAATAATACAATGGCAGTCCTAGTTATCTTGTAAACTGCACGCAAGTCTCTTAAGGGGTTGTTTGGCTGTTTTCTGAAAAAAATCGGAAATGGAAAACTCACATTTCAACTAATTTCAGGAGATTTCAAGACATTTCCCGTATTTCTTTTTTCTTTTTGTTTTTTTCGCAATGAAATCACCGTCACGTCACTGCCATGTCACATAATAAACAAATCCAGCAGCAATAGTAACAATGTTTCGATTTCCATTTCTTGTGTTTGTTTGAACATAGAAAAAGGAAATGGAAATCAGCCGCAATAGTAACAGTGTTTTCAACAATTAAATAATCTGTTTTATTCACAGTCACTGTTTCAATATTGCTTTTAGTAATTAAAAATTCATTGAAATGACATTTCCAAGTGTTTTCAGAGGTTTTTAGTGTGAAAACACTTTTCTCAAAAATCTGATGTGGCATACTACGTGACACCCTCATTTTATTAAATCACAAAACGAAATAAACATGTGATTTAGAAATCGGTTGAAACTAAAATTCTACGTGGCAGGGGGATTTCTTGAAATCTGACATGGCGGGGGGTTTTCTCATTTTTTTTAGCAAACAAACAGCCCCTAAATCCCGAGGAATCATGCAGTTTAGTCCCTCAATGATTATAATGGACCTTAGCACAATGTGTTTTGTAGAAATAGGAGTTGGTAGGAAAATATAAATTGAGGTGTATTTTGGTCATTGAGAGGCCAAATTGCAGGACCTTCTAGAGTTCTACCGTTTGAGGGACTTAAGAGCAATAACAAAGATTGAGGGATAATGTGAAATTATTGAAGAATTGAGGGACTACTATTACATAATCCTAAAAATTATAACAATGGGCCCATCTACGTGCCCCGCCTCCAAGGTGCAGACGAACCCAAACACTGGGTCCTACATAAGAAACAGAACCTTCGTCAGCAATATTAATTACAGACAATCGAAGTCACCCCCATCCGTTGATCGCGGTATCCAAGGACTCAAAAATACTCATGTTAAAAGCGAGGGACCTCTCTGTAATTTTATCGTCGTAGGGTGACATTTTACGGGCTGCTTTCAAATTATTATTCACCTCCATTCGAATTCGATGGTACAAAAGAGAGAGAGAAAGAGGGCGAGAGGAGAGAGGGAATCAATTAATTTCGCCTCCGACTCTCTCTTTTCGTCGTCGCTCAAAAATCTCGGGTTTCAATAAATTTAGGCTTTCACCCCCACACCAAACCCTAACTCCGTCAAAAAATGAGCACCAACGCCATCCCGCCGCCGAGGCGGAACCAACAGCCGCGTAAAAAAAAAAAAACTCATCTTTCTCTCTTTTTGCCCCTTTATGCTTATTGTTGACGATCTTTTAGCTGATTTTGTGCGTGTTTATGTTAGTGGTGAGAGAACAGTGAAGAAGCTGAGGCTTTCGAAAGCCCTAACGATCCCCGAGGGCACGTCGGTGTCCGATGCGTGCCGGAGAATGGCACAGAGGAGAGTGGATGCGGTTCTGTTGACTGATTCTAATGGGCTGTTATCTGGGATTGTAACTGATAAGGTTTTGAAATTTTCTCTGTTCAATAAACTTATGGTTTGTTTCCTTTTCAGAACGATGTTTTATTTGTGTTGTTTTTTTGTTGGTAGGATATTTCGACGAGGGTTATAGCAGAAGGGTTAAGGACCGAGCAAACAGTCATTTCGAAGATTATGACCAGGAATCCGATTTTTGTGATGGCCGATACTCTGGCTATTGAGGCATTGCAGAAGATGGTTCAAGGTTTGCTGAAATTTGAGCTGAGATGATGACATTAGATTGAGCAGTGCATAAAAGTTTCATCTTTTTTTTTTTTTGTTTTTCTTTGATTTTTGTGTTTGGCAGGTAAATTTAGGCACCTTCCTGTTGTGGAAAATGGTGAGGTTATTGCCATGTTAGATATTACAAAATGCCTGTATGATGCTATATCGAGAATGGAGAAGGCAGCAGAGCAGGGTAGTGCCTTAGCTGCCGCCGTCGAAGGGGTTGAGCGCCAATGGGGAAGCAATTATTCGGGTAGGTATAACTTTCATGTGAGTATAATTTAGTTCATATTACACACATTAAAGCATGATTTAAAGTTGTAGGGGAGATAACGAGTCAATAGTTAATTTTTACTTCTGTTGTCTTTTCTAAGTAGTGAAATCTTCTTTTTAATTAAGGATAGCATATGATCTCAATTGCATACACCATTAAGAACCAGAACTTTTGTTGACTGCAATTGCTGTCACAACCATTTCCCCCTTGCTCAACATGTTGTGGACTTATTATTTTTAATATTTCTAGAAAAATAGAGTGATATTTATTTATACGTGTACTTGTTTTAGTAGGTTATGTGCTTATGACTTTTCATTTTACTGTCTGATAAAACTGCACTTAAGAAAAAAACTGAGGGTGATCAAGAGGAAAAGGAAATATCATGTAAAGCAACTGGCTAGATGAAATTAATGCTTACAAAATAAGTAAGATGACGTTATCACTCTGAGTCTCTGATGATCCCTGACCTTCCATAAACTCCTGCTATAGACAGATCACATCAAGGCTAATCTATCAATTTATATGGAAAAAAACTCCAGAGAGATTAAGCAAACTCAAATCTCATGCTATTTTAGATTCATTAATTAAGATGTTTCGATATTCTTGAACTAGTTCTAAATCCCAGTCTACTTGCAATTGGGCCTGGGATTAGGAGTATGAACTGCTTGCTGGATTGTCACCCAGTATCAATTGGAGGGGAGCAACCACTATCTTTGATCTGTAGGAAATGACAGAAAATGTGAGGAATTTTTGGTTTTTATATTGTTTTAATGTTTGTATTGAATCTCAACAAAAAGTTGATCACATTGATGGAAGATGTTGTCTCCTTGTTGTTATTTTGTTCATCCCATCTGTCTTAATGCCTTTATTACTAAGGTTTTAGGCCTTCTCTAGGTGTAGGTTTAATTTTTGGGAATGGATGATTGTTCCTGCTTTATTATTTGTGGTTTACAAGAAATTTCTTGAAGACTGTATTGTTTTACCTTTTGATGTTTCTGATGGTTTGCAGTTAAGGTCGCTTTTCACCTCATAAAGGTGGATTATAACCTATTTGTTTGCTATTAGGCTAAGACTGCTAACCCTCGTTGCGCGATTCCCTGGACGTCCCCTCGAACCATCGTACAACCATGCGAACCGATTCCCGTTACATTTGCGAACCGATTCCCGTTACATTTGCGAACCGATTCCCTCCATTATACAAACCGGTTCCTAAAAATGGCATGCCACTTACAAGTATGCTAGATGCAAAGTCTCTTTAAGTGCACATGCGCAAGACGCAATACAAGGTGTGCAATTAAATGAAGGGAGACATACAATAGAGTATATGAGCCAAAATTTTACTATAACTAAACATGTATATTAATTAAATGTTAAATGAAACCATGATCCTAAAACGAGCTCTGTGAAAAAAAAAACAGAACAAAGAAACAAACTCCATAAAAAGTATATAAGTATTTTATATGTAAAAATATTAAAATTCATAATTAGCTTTCTACTATGTACTTTGGAAAACCTTATGCACACGCAATTTTTTTTTACAATGTACCACTAACCGAACTTGCATACCGAAGCAAGCAACTCCTAATGAATCCAAATTTTCTAAGTGGCGAATTGTGTACCCGAATTCGTACAGTGACCCCCTATGTACCGCGTACTGTGTAACTATGCTCCTAACTGTAATGGCCATAGTGGATGGCGTCTGCTGGAGATCTTGTTCAAATCTCTTAGGTCATGAAATTTAGAATATCAAATTTAGCATATGTGTAATACAACCTATTTGTTTGCAGTTAAGGTCTCTCTTCACCTCATAAAGATGGATTACAACCTATTTGTTTGCTATTAGGCTAAGACTTCAAGCTGTAATGGCCATAGTGTATGGCATCCACTGTAAATCTTTGTTCATATCTCTTAGGTCGTGAAATTAGAGTGTCAAATTTAGTATATGTGGATGGAAGACAAATATGACTTGGTATACCGGCACCATTATTCACCAAGTAGCTTTTACTTCAATCTACCTCTTGTCAATATAATGTAATGAGATTTTTAATAGTGCTGGTCTCACACAAAAATTCTACACAACTGCCCCTAGACATTGAGGTATTTTGCATATTTTAGCTAAATTTTGCATGGACACACGTAAGTATAATACACACATGATTTTGAATGTGAACATTTTGGTAATGTTGTTTTAGATCTAGAAACTGATGCATAACAACCGTTTGAGTTTTGTATGGAAGTGTGTAATTTGGAAGTAGAGCATCTTATTGAAGAAATTCTAGTCTACTATTAGAAGAAATCCTAACCTAGTAAAGTTGGAAAATCCTAGATTTGCTAGGATTGCCTTTGATTTATTTAGAGACCTTTATTTTGTTTTAAAATCCTAATCTAGTTAGCATGAGGGTTGTTTTAGATTTTTTTTTATTTGTGTTGTTTGCTTTTAGCTTAGTTAGGTCTAAAAAAGTTAAAGAGTTCTACTACAGTTTGGATCTTTTGAGTCTATAATATATATCATTGTATTATATATTAACTTGAAAAATTAAAAGTTCGATAATTTTGTGAAGTGCTAATCCATGGTGTGAAACTAAACTCTAATCCTAAGTGTGTAAGAATAATCCCGTGTGAACCAACAAGAGGCTGTGAGGCCTTTCAAACCTGTCTTTTGGGTCAAATTTCAAAAAAATCCTAGTCGCCCTTTCATAACAGTACACACCCTAATTCCCTTCGAATGTGCAGACCACTGATGTTACAGAAGATTAACGACAGCAAGGAAACAGAATTAGAAATGATAATAGGCCTTAACAACTCATTGCAGGCCACATTATGAAGGGTTCACGTTAAAAGTGCTCTATGCTTTTTCTAGAGATAATTTAACACGTGCTCATGAGATACTTAACTGTTTGCTGTAGTTTGAAGATCCATTTCCATGTTTTTACATGATTAATTAGACGTCCTTACAATTTTAACATGATCATTATGCACTAAATGTGTTTGTATTTTGTTTGAGAACTTGAATTATAAGTTGCATACGCATTGTGCCTTAGAGTCACCTTACAGATTTTTTTTCTTATACAAGTTTCATTGACTTCAGTTAATTCGTGCTGCAGCTCCTTATGCTTTTATTGAAACTCTTCGAGAACGGATGTTTAAGCCTTCTTTGTCAACTATCATCACGGAAAACTCAAAGTATGGTTGTTTAGTTAGTTCCCAATATTTTCCTCTTGTTATATGACGTTTTAATCAGTTTAGCGTCAAATTGTTCGTCTTATCTAAAGCTTAGAAGCTGCTCATCTTGCAGAGTGGCGGTGGTTTCTCCTTCAGATCCTGTCTATGTTGCAACAAAAAAGATGCGTGACCTTCGGGTTAATTCAGTGATTATTGTGACAGGAGGCCAGCCTCAAGGGATTCTTACGTATGTTCTGCGAATGGAAAACATTGTTATGTTTATATTGGTGTGCTCTAGTCTGTGCCGGTTGTTCTCTCTTTTAAGCATTTCTAATGTTTTCTTTTGATTGCTCTTCCATTTTAAAAATTACAGTTCAAAGGATGTGCTTATGCGAGTAGTTGCTCAGAATCTTTCGCCAGAGTTGACTCTAGTAGAAAAGGTACATTATTTCTTACTCATTTTGCGTGATTATAAATTTGCTATTTGCTCTTTTATTATCAAGGCAATTTACAGGATATAATTGCATTCCGTGCAAGTTTTGTGATTGTGCTTTCTTTAGCTCTTTTTTAGTCTGCACATGATTTTTTCATTTTCCCTTGTATGCTCTTCCTAAGTCTAGGAGAACTTTGGACTGTACCTCTTGGAATTCATGAGCTTAATTGCTTTACAAGGAGCTAGGATATCCTTTCCACTGTCATCTTTTTAGGTTTCGTTGTAAGACGGTTTCTTCTAAATAACTCCAGCCAGGAATTTCAGAACAAAATAGAGGGTTGATGTCAGCTTGTCTGCTTGTCATAAGAATTTTGTCAAATCTTTTATGGATTCTTTTCCTTCATGCTCCCCATTTTCTCTGAAGGTATTAAATGATGAGCATGGGTTGGTTCCCATGCGTTGCAGTTATTTTTAGCATTTAAATGTATAACATCATCATGGATATGAGCCTCTTGTTCATTAGTTTAATACTTCTTGCTAATCTTTTTCGCACCTGAACAAGTATATGATGCATATGTGAAGCAATCTACTGTAGAATGCATCTGAAATCATCTTATTTTCTCTTTGAATCAGATGTATAAATTACTTTCCACTTTTTTTTTTCTCTTTTTTCTCACTTCTCATTTGGTTCCCAGCTTCTACACTTCTTTGCATTAAAAGAGTTTTTACCCTCTTGTTCATGCTATATTTTTGTAGAAACACTCTGGAGAATTTGGAACTCATGAAAAACAATGCTTGATCTTTGTTTTCTGTTTCAGACTTATTTTCAGAAAATAAAATTTTCTTCTAGACTTTGCAAAGCCTATACGTGGTTCATATTCAATTCCTTGTGTTAAAGGGGTGCTTGTTTCAAATTATGCACGTCATCATTACCCAGACATTGACTTATACAGCACCTTCATGTTATGCAATATTGTAGTTGATACGAGTTGCCGTGCGAGCACCTTTGATCGCGGAATTATCAAAGATGGGTTGAGAAGAGGATGACAGAAACACAAGCACAATTCAGTATATGGCGAAGGAAATTACCTTCTCTAGATTATGAGTATGAAAAGATTACAATCCATCTCTCACAATCTCACTAGAATCGAGAACCTCTCAATCCTCTCTAAACCCTAATACAAAGATTAGAATCTCTCTTTGAATCTATCTGATTCAAGATCTCTAAGATGATGTTTAGAAACCCTAAACAACCCTTTATATAGGTGTACTAACGTGGATGGCAATTTGGTAAATAACCAGACCCAAAACCAACAGGAATTCGTGTGAACAGAAACCCAAACAAACCAGGAAACCATCGATGAGTCGACTCATGACTGAGATGAGTCGACTCGTCCGAAACTGGACAAAACTAAAAAATCAGCGATGAGTCGACTCATGACAGTCATGAGTCGACTCAACCTGATGAGTTGACTCATGACTGTTATGAACTCATGACAGTCATGAGTCGACTCAACCTGATGAGTTGACTCATGACTGTTATGAGTCGACTCACAGGTTGAAAACTGGATACTTCGATTCTTCTGCTCGTCGTCTCGTTCCACGCTTTCTCCTGCGTTCTCTTGTACTGTTTGACTTCTCTATTCTCATATTATCATGATAATCATCTATCCTCAAGCTCCCATGAGGATCGCTAAGTTCCGAAGAGAAGATACACCCGTATCATGAGTCCCCTCTTTAAGAACTTGAAGTCCCGTTCAAGTTAGAACTTTTGCTGAGGAAACTCTCGAGCTCCTTCATTTTTTCTGCACCACCTGGCCTTGCTAGGAATCCGATCTCGACGTCCGAGCAGAAACAACTCATTCATCTCGCGTCTCGTCGTAGTCACCGTTCGCTCTAAGTTGCAATCCTTTGTCGATGGTTTTTCTAGAAGTCTAATACACAGCAAGACAAACTTCTTGCTTGCATTCACTAGTCTCTTCGCTCGTGTCACCGTCCCCACGCTTGTCTCCCTCGGAAGAGATGCCGAACGAAATATGAACTTTACACCATCCTTAGTGAAGGTGTACTTCTGAGCCCGCCTCTCGTAGATCGCATATCTATCCCATAAGTATGGATTGCCTAGTATAATCTGACAAACATCCAATGGAACGACGTCGCATGTGACCTCATCAATATACGACTCGTGGAGCGCAAATCTGACAGTGCATTGATCAACTACACTCATGACCTCATCAATATACGACTCGTGGAGCGCAAATCTGACAGTGCATTGATCAACTACACTCAGTTTCTTCTCCTTCTGAATCCACCCCAATGGATAGGGCTGACAGTGCATTGATCAACTACACTCAGTTTCTTCTCCTTCTGAATCCACCCCAATGGATAGGGCTTCGGATGCTTGATCGTCTTCAGATCCAGTTTCTGAACCAATACCTCGGATATCAAATTATTCTCGCTGTCCGAATCAACAATGACATCAACCAAACTGGTCTTCACTTGCAACTTAATAACAAAGAGTTGCTCTCTTTGGTCGTCGTCCTTTTTCGTGGTTTGCTCCCCGTCATAAGGTTAAGACTGCTGTTGGGCTCTGTCATTCTCGGGACTTCTTTCGGACCTTGAGCTATCATGTATGCTTTTTTTTCCTCCTTCAACCCTCTTGGCTTGAGATGATGATACTTCTTCCAGCACCGATCAGCTGTGTGCCCTGTTTTCTCGCAGTGACTACAAATCAGTCCTGCCTTCCCTGGATCACCCTTCTTCTTCTCCTTCTTAGATTGAGAACTACTAGACTCGTCTCCCGTCTGTTTGGAGTCCCCCTTAGCCTCGTTGTCCTTTTGCTTGTCCTCGAGGACAATAGCCTTCACGCTCGTCTCTGTAATTGATTCCACCGTGAATAGCTTTATCTCCTTTCGGATGTAATCGCTCAATCCCGTCATATACTTCATAAACACAGAATATTCCTCTGTTGCAATATTGAGGACCATCGCCTGCTGCTGGAACTCCGTGGTGTATTCTTGAACGGTTTGATTGACCCTTTGGCGCAAGCCGTATTACTTGTACCAACGCTCTTCAAGGAATCCCACCGGGTAGAACCGCTTCCTCAGTAACTCCTTAAACTTGTTTCACGACACCGTCTTCTTCTCCTGTTTGCAGTAGGATTTTTACCACGTCAACGCGTGTCCTGAAAGCTTCAAAGTCGCGAACATAATCTTCTCTTTTGACGAATAGCCATAAAGAGTAAAATACGTCTCCATCCGCTCGATCCAGTCATCAAGCCTCTCGACGTCAACACTCCCATCATAAACATGAATCTTCACCTTGAAGTCAATCTTCAGGCTCTGATAAGAATTCTTACCCCCTTGATGCAATGCAGCCTTAACGGTCTCCTCCTCGTCGGAATCTGAATCTACTCTCTTCACATCGGACTCAATAATTTTCTTCGAAGAAGATTCACATTGTTTGCCACCTCTATGGATAAGACTGACGAGTTGTGTGAGAGTCGAACCTATCGTCTCGATCTGTTTCTCCAATGCATCAATCCTCGCTGAATTGTCTCATTCAGCCATCTTATTCCTCCTTAAAACCCGGACTCCTTCCAATGAAATAAGGATCTCGCCAAGCTTCTTGTATTGGGATCGAGTAAGGATCATACACAGAATGTCCCTTCACCGGATCTGTTCTGATACCAACTTGATACGAGTTATCGTACGAGCACCTTTGATCGCGGAATTATCAAAGGTGGGTTGAGAAGAAGATGACAGAAACACAAGCACAATTCAGTATATGGCGAAGGAAATTATCTTCTCTAGATTATGAGTATGAAAAGATTACAATCACTCTCACAATCTCACTAGAATCGAGAACAACCTCTCAATCTTCTCTAAACCCTAATACAAAGATTAGAATCTCTCTTTGAATCTATCTGATTCAAGATCTCTACGATGATGTTTAGAAACCCTAAACAACCCTTTATATAGGTGTACAAACGTGGATGATAATTTGGTAAATAACCAAACCCAAAACGAACAGGAATTCGTGTGAACAGAAACCCAAACAAACCAGGAAACCATCGATGAGTCGACTCATGACTGAGATGAGTCGACTCGTCCGAAACTGGACAAAACTCAAAAACCAGCGATGAGTCGACTCATGACAGTCATGAGTTGACTCAACCTGATGAGTCGACTCATGACTGTTATGAGTCGACTCACAGGCTGAAAACTGGATACTTCGATTCTTCTGTTCGTTGTCTCGTTCCACGCTTCCTCCTGCGTTCCCTTGTACTGTTTGACACCTCTATTCTCATGTTATCATGAGAATCATCTATCCTCAAGCTCCCATGAGGATCGTTAAGTTCTGAAGAGAAGATACACCCGTATCAGTAGTTGTACCTTGTGTACATGCAGTTTGATATTAGTGCAAAACTGTATATGTATGACCTGAATGATATCCTATCTTTTCTGCTTGCAACCTGCTGGTATTATTGCTTTGCATTGCTGGGCGCTTGCTTTACATTTGTCAGTGAGCTTTTGACTCAAGGAGGGTTCATCTGTTGTTTCTTTTACAGTCTTGTAGACTTGCTATTTGCTCAACTTGATAACTCTGTGGATTTTAACTTTTCACACATTTGTAAGAATGTTGACTTGTTAAATGAAATTTATTTATAGTTTTTTTGGAGAAAAGACCAGGGCCAAAACTTTATTGATAGAAAGAAATTTAGTTATACTTACAAACTTACAAGAGAGAATTTATCTAGGAGGTTGTTTGTTTCGTTGTAACTAGAGGATTGCAGCTATAGTTGTGTGCATCCAAGGTTTTAAAAATCGGCTATCAGAAATAAATTGGATGGTCAAAATTCATATTGGATCCCGGTTATCAGGGATATATCAGGGATAAATAGTAAAAATCGAAGTGTCATATCAGATATATAATATAATGTACTAAAATATAATCTAAGATTCTAAGCACATTTAAGGAAGTATAAACATACTAAAATGTAAATAA